TGCTACAGGGCGACAGGGTGGCAGGGCTGTGCAAAATCACGTATATATATGTGATTTGCATTTCCAGGTGGGGGGGGGCACGCATGCGCCGCCCTACCCGTGCTGTTATTGTCGGCTATAGATGTCAATCACCGGGTCCTGGCCTTCAATTCCAGGCAGGCACTCGGTGATCATCAGGGAAAGCTGACAGGGGAGAGACCTGTGTGTAAACAACACAGGTCTCTTCCCTGTCAGCACGGACATGCTGTTTTGTATCTCTCTACACAGCACAGCAGCAGAGAGATACAAAGCAGCATGTGTCCCAAGTAAAACACAGCACACTGTAAAACATACACAGCACACAATTAACTCTTTGATCACCCCGATGTTAACCCTTCCTGTCCAGTGTCATTAGTACAATGTCAGAGCTTTATATTAGCACTGATCACTGTATTGGTGTCACTGGAGATGTCAGTGGCCATTAGTTCCCACCCAGTGTCTGCTGCAGTTCTGCTATAAGTCGCTGATCGCTGCCATTACTAGTATAAAAGAAATAAAAATAAAAATTCCAGTATATATACCGCCATTTCTAAAACACTACAACTTTCACAAAAACAAACTAATTTACACGTATCAGGATTTTTTTTTAGCAAAGACATGCCGCAGAATACATTTTGGCCTATGTTTATGACAAAATTTGATTTTAAATTTTTTTTTATTGGATATGTTTTATAGCAAAAAGTCAACAATATTGTTTAAAAATTTAAAAAAAACATAGGTGATCAAATACCACCGAAAGAAAGCTCTAATTGTGGGAAAAAAGGACATGCATTTCATTCATGTACAACATTGCATGACCGCGCTGTCAGTTAAATTAACGCAGATCCATATCGCAAAAAATGGCCTGGTCAGGAAGGGGGGTAAATCCTCTGAAGGGCAAGTGGTTAGAAAGTCATCCCCCCATTCACATACACTTTACACATAGCACAGATTTTTCTTTAGAATCACAAAAGGTATGAACGTACAAGAAAGTTTGTTAAAGTCCTTGTAATGTACATAGATCACCCAGAGAAGAAAGTTTTTTTTCTTTTTAAAGTTACTCTTTAAATTTAGCAAAATAACTCAACATACAAATAAAGAGACATTTAGTGGTACAAGATATTTCCTGGAACAAAAATCTCCATAGATGAATCCTGGAAATTCCTGAATAATAGTGATGGTCTGTGATATATTTTGATCTGAAGAAACACAGATTTGTTGAGAGCCAAGTCACTAAATTACCCCATTGTTCATTGTTCTTAATCAAGCACTTATATACCTGCCTACTGTATATGTAATAATGAACAGCGTGTGTTCTCTGTAAAATACGTTTCCCGATTATTAATCTGTGTGCTGTTTAATGTCTCCCCTGGGGTCAGGAACATCTCACCTGCTTTACCATAGACTGCTGTTTTGGATTCGCTGACAGTCTTGTACAGAGACTCTAAATCAGATGCATCCAGTAGCTGCAGTATTCGCCGGCAGCCTATCCTCTCAGAAGTACTGAGACCCATGATGAACGAAGAAACTGGGGGGAGAACCAGATCGATGTTCTAGACTTGCTTCAACTAATGACGCAGCAAAGGATAAATGAAAGTGGAACTAGTCACTCCAGTTAAATACCAGATCAGGGTTGATTATTTCCTTGCAGATGTTGTTACAATGACACAAAGGGGAAGATTTACTAAAACTGGAGATCTGATGCAACTGTGGTAGCCAATCAGCTTCTAACCTCAGCTTGTTCAGTTAAGGTTTGACAGTAAAACCTGGAGGCTAATTGGTTTCTATGCAGAGCTACACCAGAATTTGCACTCTCCAGTATTAGTAAAGATTCTAATTCTGCTGGTGTGCACTTACTTACTGATTCACCTACTGTGATAAAGTTCTGACAATTCTGGTGGTGTGCACCCACTGATCCACCTACTTTTTTTTTAGCACACACCTCTGAAGGATATATGGATCCCCTGACTCAACCTCTTCCAGCAATGCCGGAAAATATATTTGGGCTGCACACCTAACAAGGCAACAAAAATGGCAACAGTAGTAAACAGTCAGAAAGTAACGCAAATTTGAACAATACAACAAAACAATGCATGAACCAAGTACGTCTTAACTAAAACCCCACCGAGTACCTGAATCCTGCCTCTATGGGGGCCCTAAATATACACTATATTGCCAAAAGTATTGGGACGTCTGCCTTTACATGAACTTCAATGACATCCCAGTCTTGGTCCGTAGGGTTTAATATTGAGTTGGCCCACCCTTTGCAGCTATAACAGCTTCATCTCTTCTGGGAAGGCTGTCCACAAGGTTTAGGAGTGTGTCTATGGGAATGTTTGACTATTCTTCCAGAAGTGCATTTGTGAGGTCAGGCACTGATGTTGGACGAGAAGGCCTGGCTTGCAGTCTCCACTCTACTTCATCCCAAAGATGTTCTATCGGGTTGAGGTCAGAACTGTGCAGGCAAGTCAAGTTCCTCCACCCCAAACTCATTCATCCATGTCAGTATGGACCTTGCTTTGTGCACTGGTGCACAATCATGTTGGAATAGGAAGAGGCCATCCCCGAACAACCCCACACCATAATCCCCCCTTCACCAAACGTTACACTTGGCACTATGCAGTCAGGCAAGTACTGTTCTCCTGGCAACTGCCAACCCCATACATGTCCATCGGATTGCCAGAGAAGTGTGATTCACCATGCTCTAGAGTCCAGTGGCGGCATGCTTTACACCGCTGCATCCAGCGCTTTGCATTGCACTTGGTGATGTAAGGCTTGTAAAGCAATATGTTTACATTTCGAATATGTTTTCAAATGTTGTTTTTTAATACATTTTGAATTAGATTCAAATTCAGATCACTTGTTATAGTTATATATGTAGTCTGGCTAAAAAAAGACAAAAGTCCATCCAGTTCTACCATAAAAAAAAAGTTATAATCCTATACCCACAGTTGATTCAGAGGAAGGCAAAAAAACCCAGCAAAGCATGATCCAATTTGCTCTTGCAGGGGAAAAAAATTCCTTCCTGATCCCCCGAAAGGCAATAGGATATTCCCTGGATCAACTTTACCTATAAATGTTAGTAACCAGTTATATTCTGTGTATCCAAGAAACAATCCTGGCCTTTTTTAAAGCAATCCACTGAGCTGGCCAGAACCAACTCTTGAGGGAGTCTATTCTACATTTTCACAGCTCTCACTGTGAAGAAACCTTTCTGTGTTTGGAGATTAAATTTCTATTCCTCCAGACGTAAAGAGTGCCCCCTTGTCAAGGTGAATAGCTCTACACCGAGTTCACTATATGAACCACTGATGTATTTATACATGTTGATCATATCCCCCCTTAATCTTCTCTTCTCAAGAGAGAATAAATTCAGTTCCTCTAATCTTTCCTCATAGGTGAGTTCCTCCATGTCTTTTATCAGTTTGGTTGCCCTTCTCTGTACTTTCTCCAGTTCCCAATATTCTTTTTGTGAATTGGTGTCCAAAACTGAACTGCATATTCCAGATGAGGTCTTACTAATGATTTGTATCGGGGTAATATGATATCTCTCTCTCTGGGGTCTATACCTCTTCTAATACAAGAGAGGATTTTGCTCGCTTTAGAAACCGCAGTTTGGCATTGCATGCCATTATTGAGCTTGTGATCTACCAGATCCTTCTCCACCATTGATTCCCCCAGTTGTACCCCCCCCCCCCCCTAGTATGTATGATGCATGCATATTCTTAGCCCCCAAGTGCATTCACCTTACATTTATCAACATTAAACCTCATTTGCCACATAGTTGCCCAATTACACAGTGCACTGAGGTTGGCTTGTAAATTGGAGACATCCTGTAAGGACGTTATTCCACTGCACAGCTTGGTGTCATCTGCAAAGACTGAAATGGGATTTTTAATCTCAGACCCTATATAGTTTATAAATATATTAAAAAGTAAGGGTCCCAACACTGAACCTTGGGGTACACCACTGACAACCCTAGACCATTCAGAGTATGAATCATTAACCACTACTCTTTGAATGCAATTTTTTAGCCAGTTTTCTCTCCATTTACATACAGATTTTTCCAAGTCCGTAGACTTTACCTTACACATTAACCGTGTGTGGGGAACTGTGTCAAACGCTTTTGCAAAATCCAAGTATACCGTGTCCACCGCCACCACTCTGTCCAAGGTTTTGCTCACACCCTCATAAAAAGAAATAAGATTTGTTTGACAACTTCTGTCTTTCATGAATCCATGCTGTTACGTAAAATATTTTTTTCCAGCAAGAACTCATCTATATGGTCTTTTAATAAACTCTCCTGTATCTTCCCAACTAGAAACGTTAAACTAACAGGTCTATAATTACTTTGTAAAGATTTTGACCCCTTTTTAAATATTGGCACCACATTGGCCTTAGGCCAATCCAGTGGAGCTATGCCAGTCATTGAAGAGTCCCTAAAAATGAGAAACAATGGCTTTGAAATGACAGAGCTCAATTCTTTAAGGACACGTGGGTGTATGCTATCCAGTCCAGGTGCTTTATTTACCTTTATATTGTCTAAATATTTTTGGATCATATCAATTGTGAGCCAATGTGGATCATCTGGAGCTATGTCAATACCATGCCCATTATGGACAAGAGCTCCCCCATGCTCCTTTGTCCCCAGTCACCCATTCTAGATTATTTTGTAAAGGGCCTACATGCTCGGACCGAACCTTTTTACTATTAATATATTTGAAGATTTTTTTGGGGTTGGTCCTGCTATCTTTTGCAATCTGTCGTTCATTTTAAATTTTTGCAGCCTTTATATATTCTGTTATATTCTTTGTAAAGTTTAACCGCCTCCCGCCCGCCATATAGTACAATGACCGGTGCAAGGCGGTTCTCTCGTTCTGGGAGGATGTCATATGACATCCTCTCATTCTAACCATGCATGCTCGGCTTCGGACACAGCGGATCACTGATCAACGGAAAGAGCCGAAGATGTCGGCTCGGTCATGTGATCAGCTGTGTCCAATCACAGCCGATAGCATGTAAATAGGAAAATGCCAGTTATCGGCATTTCTCTCCTCACAAGCTGTCACGCTGACTGCTCGGGAGGAGAGGAGAGCCAATAATCGGCATTCCTCAGAGGGGACATCTACACTGATCATCAGGGCACTGATGATCAGTGTGCCCTGATGATCTGTGTAGCCCCAGCCGTGCCACCTGTCAGTGTTCATCAGTGCCAGCTGTCAGTGCCCATCAGTGCCACATCAATGCCATATTTCAGTGCCTACCAGTGCACATCAATGCCACATATCAGTGCCCATCTGAGCTGCCTTTCAGTGTGACCCATCAGTGCCAGTCAGTGCCACCTATCAATGCCAGTCAGTGCCACCTATCAGTGCTGCCAATCAGTGCCACCTTTAAGTGCCAGACAGTGTCGCCTATCAGTGTCAGTCAGTGCCACATATCATTGTGCATCAGTGCCGCCTATCAGTGCCTATCAGTGCCGGTCAGTGCTGCCTATCAGTGCCGCCTAACAGTGCCAGTCAGTGCCGCCTAACAGTGCCAGTCAGTGCCGCCTAACAGTGCCAGTCAGTGCCAGTGCCGCCTATCGGTGCCATATATGAGTGCTGCCTTTCAGTGCCCATTAGTGATGCCTGTCAATGCCCATCAGTGCCACCTACCAGTGCCTCCTCATCAGTGCCCATCAGTGCCACCTATCAGTGTCCATCAGTGCAGCCTATTAGTGCCCATCACTGCAGCCTCATTAGCGCACATCAGTGAAGGAGAAAAATCACTTATTTACACAATTTTATAACATAAACTAAGAGAAAACTTTTTTTTTCAACATTTTCAGTGGTTTTTGGTTTAAGAAAAAATAAAAAACTCAGAGGTGATTAAATACCACCAAAATAAAGCTCTATCTGTCACAAAAAAATGATACAAATTTCATATGGGTACAGTGTTGCATGACCGTGCAATTGTCATTCAAAGTGCAACAGCGCTGAAAGCTGGAAATTGGCCTGGGCAGGAAGGGGGTATAAGTGCCCTGTAGGCTAGTGGTTAAACAATGATAGTGTTCCTTCATTTTTATATTTAATAAAAGCTCTTTTCTTATTATCTAAAGCTATTTTAACTTTGGCCGTAAGCCACATAGGTTTGATTTTTAGACTTTTAAACTTGTTGCCCATGGGAATATATTTTGCAGTGTGTTCACATACTGTCTTTTTGAAGAACTCCCATTTCTGTGTCTGTCGTGTTCATCGATGCCAATATTCCCTCCCAGTCTAAGTCTTGGAAAGCAGCTCTCAGCCTTGGAAAATTAGCTCTCTTGAAATTGAGCGTTTTATTTTTCTCGTATGTGCTCACTGGTTACAGCTAACAATAAATGAAATCATGTTATGGTCACTGCTACCTAGATGTTCTTTTATATGGACATTCGTAATAAGCTCTGCATGGTTTGAGATTAACAGGTCCAGCAGACCATCATTCCTAGTAGGAGCTTCTATGAACTGTACCATAAAATTGTCCTGTAGTAGGTTTAAAAATGTTTGCCCTTTAACTGTTCCTGCAGTACCATTACTCCAGTCAATTTCCGGGTAGTTAAAATCCCCCATTATTATCACTGTCCCAGCCCTTACAGCCCTTCTGAACTGTGAGTTTCCACCTCCTCATTATTTCTCCTCATTATTTTGGAGTAAATTTAGTTTTTTATTTCAGATTTGTTTAAATTTGTTACTGTTGTAATTTGGAAATTCAGGAACAATTGAATAATGAAAATTTCATCTGAATTTCAATTAGGAACCAAACACACCTCACATGTCTAGAAATTGCTCATTGCACAAGGAACCCCTAGCAACCTCTGAAGGAACCCTAATTAAGAGACCTTGTACTAGACATTTGCTAGTGTTGGGGCTCAGATTCCGGCGATGAAACACTCAAATAAGTTTATAATCCAGTAGTGAAAATCCCCAAATCCACACTATTGCAGCAGGGGTAACAAAGAAAACCCTCTGTGGGCAACTTTTTCACAGCAGTGCCACTGCCTATGGCTACACACTGGTAATGGCAGATCTGACCTAGTTAATTTCACAGGCGGCAAAGGGGCTGTAAAAAAACAGATGTTTGATCCACTCTTTTTAAATTTCCAAAATGTGCTGCGCTCCACTTGTTAACAATATTATCAATTCATAAATTCACCTACTGTATATATACACACGTGCTCCTATTGACAATTAGTGCAATAAAGAAGTTCTGATTATATATTTTGATCCACTCTTTTTACTGCCTTCTAACCACCTACCTAAAAATTAACATGCCGGTTTCTCAGGGTCATACTAATTTCTGTACCCATGTTGCTTCACGGTATAGAAAATTCAACTTTGGCATGTAGCTTTGGAAGATGGTTGCAGCACCTGTGGAAGTCAATGGGACTGCACCACTACCACATGCACATCCTTGGGACAATGTAATGTTTCCATTTAAACTGCCAATTGGGATAGAAAAAAAAGAACAGGCTTTTAGGAGTTGGCATTATTGCTAATAACTGATACCTACAAACTGTTGGTCAACTGTCCGTGAAAAGAAATCCATCATGGGTCATTTTTCAGAGGAGCAGTAAAGCCCACTGCCCATGTGAAAGGGACCTTACACGTTTTTGTTTTGGTTATGCATACTTACAAACTAATTCAGTCATTGTGATAAAGATCTTGTATTTCTGCTGTCGTGCACTTACCTACTGATTTTACAGTAGGTAAGTCACAAGAGACTCTTGACATATCTACTGATCTGTTCACTGAGAAAGCTCCTGTAACTATGCTGTTGTACATCTACCTAGTAGCCTTCTATGTTAAAGTTCTCATTATTCACTTGTAAAAAGGCTCTGAACAGGGAATGGAAATTTAGCAGTCTTTGAAAAAGCATGGACAGAAAACTGACCTAATAGTCCATAAAATTGTCCAGTCCTACCTGAAGGAAGGATAAAACCAGTGCCTTGGGAAATTAAGCTTTCCCTTTTTGCACCAAGCAAAGTATGTTTTCCATGCGTGACGGTAAACCCTATGAAGTAAGGATGTTCTGGCCTTCCACAAGGTGGAAGTTACAGAGATTGAAATCTCCTGACCCTCAGGACTTGTGTTTCAACAGCCAAATCCTCAAAGCAGGCAACAGTGATGCAGGATGGAACATGGGCTCTTAGTAAAGGTCTAGGCCAGAAAGTGTCTGCAAGGAGTCTATATCCGAGTATCACGGCCTCCTGGGGCAATCTGGTACAATGAGAATCACTGGTATGCCTTCCCTCACTATCCTCTAAAGCAGATGAGGTTGGAGTATGAGATGGGGGAACGCATAAATCAGGTTCAACTGATTCCGCAGAATGACTAGGATAACCACCCTGAAGACCCAAAGATACCTGGACACAATTTGTGGTTGAGGCTGGATGTCAGCATTCCCCAGTGGAGACAGAAAGTGAGTGCCTGTTCACACCAGAATGCGGTGTGGAAAACCCTCGTTCCCCACACCACATCTAAAATGCACTGGGTGTGCAATCTGCTCCTGGTGGTGGTAGATTCTTAATGACACCCCAAAAGCAGATTGATGATAGTACCATGTAATCTGGTTGCCCTGCATTTTTAAAAGTATTACATGCACTACCATTGGTGCAATCCAGTGTGATTTCAGCACATTCAAATGAATCACATCGCACGTGGAGCATGTTTCTATGTGATTCTGGTGTGAACTGGCCCTGAAACACCTCCAGATTTAAGGACCACTTCCCGGGAACCAGCTGTTGGAAGCTTAAAAAGTCTTCTTGCCAATTCTCCACTCCCAGAATATGTACCATGGACAAGTCCAAACATGAAGCTTCACCTTGATAATTTATGTATGCAACAGCTGTTTTGTTGTCACATTGGACCCTGATCAGCAGTTCTCCAAGTAGCAAATTCCAATGCTGAAGAGCAAACTGAACCGCCCTGAGTTCCAAGATGTTGATTGGAATTGAAGCTTACTTTGGCAACCATGCCCCAGAACTGATAGGAAATCCAGGACTTCACCCCAGCCAAGGATCTCCACAAACAAGCGCCAGGCTGAAAAGCCACTAAATTAAGGCTACCGTGGTTTTGGTGCTGTGACGCATGGGATGATGCAAAAACAGAGTCTGTTTATCCGATGCTGTCAGGATGTTGAATTGCTACAGTCTTGATTGAAACTGAGCATACCATGTACAGGAGGGTCCAAAAGAGCAAACTTGATTTTCCAGGTAGTACAACCTTTTCCATAGTGGACATAGTGGACTTTTTTTGAGGACACTTGAGGCCTTTGGCCAATTGTTCTCATGGGAGCAATTCATCCAAATACCCCAGAATGGGGATCCCTCAGACTACAAAAAGAGCCAAGATCAGGGCAGCACCTTTGCAAATATTCGTGGTGCTGTGGCCAGACCAAAGGGCAATGTCACAAACTAGAAATGCCACCCCCCACCTCACACCGCCCCAATAGCAGTGGAAAAATGGTGGTATGGAGGTAGGCATTCTTGATGTCCAACAAGGCCGAAAGTACTTCTGACAGAGAAAGACAATTACAGGACTGCACATATTCCAAACAGAACTTTTGAACAAGCAGAAACTTGTACAGGCACTTTAGATTTAGCATAGGCAGCACATTGAACTGCCAACATGTAAAGGTTTGAAGAGTAACCATGAACCTTTCTCATTCTAGAACAGGGGCAATGGCCCCTTGAGAGTGCAACAGGTCCAGTGCAGCAAACAAAGCTGCTCTGTTGTCAGTTGCAGTGGGCACATTTGGTAGCATGAAACATGGAGGAGACAAAATGTAAAACTCCAGCCTGTAGCCTCTGAAAACAATAGGGTTTATTTACTAAAGCTGATTTACTCAGAATCTGATGCACCTGTGCATGGTAGCCAATCAGCTTCTAACCTCAGCTTGTTCAATTAAGCTTTGACAATAAAACCTTTAAGCTGATTGGTTTCTATGCAGAAATGCATAAGATTCTGAGTGAACCAGCTTTAGTAAACAAACCCCAATGTTTTGAACCCAGATATCAGAGATATTGTGCGACCAGGTGGCTGCAAAGACCTCCAGATTTCTCTTTCCACTTGTAGAAGTGCGGGTCTCCCTTATTAGGGAAGAAAGTAAGTTGCCCATCTTACATGGCTTGGGGTTCCAGGATTTCTTCTGCAAGAACTCTTCTGCTTATCCCCTTGAATTTTGAAAAGAATGAAAGGAACCCTTCTTGGTCCCAAACAAAGACCGCTTTTACTCCTGTCGCTTCTTTAGAGATAAGAGAGTGCTCCTCCTCTTGTAACCTTTTGAATAAATGTGTCCAAGGCATTGCCAAATGTGCCAAGAAGTGTTTACCCTCAAAAGGCATACACTCCATCTGCTTCCTGCAGTGAATTGCTGCTGACCAGCAGTTTAGTCATAGTACTCGCCTCATATGGACCAACATAAGTTCCAGGTGTGAGAGTCCTCAGAGAGACTCTCAGAATTCATCCACATGAAGGAATAAAGCTTCAGGAAAGAGCTCCAGCTCCAGCCAGTGGAAGAACCTGATTTCTTTTGCTATGTGCTTAGCCCAGACCAGCAAGGTTAGACAAAGCCCTATGAATTCAAGGGCTGGTTTAATGACCACACTTGCCA